GCGGCGCAGGGCGGCGCGGGCCTCCCGGCTCAGGCGACGCTCTACGGCCACCCGGTCTATGGCTACTCGGCGGCGGCGGCGGCGGCACTGGCCGGCCAGCATCCGGCGCTCTCCTACTCGTACTCTCAGGTGCAGGGCGCCCACCCCGCGCACCCCGCCGACCCCATCAAGCTCAGCGCCGGCACCTTCCAGCTGGACCAGTGGTTGCGCGCGTCCACCGCCGGCATGATTCTGCCCAAGATGCCCGACTTTAACTGTGAGTACCCGCTCGAGCCTCCCCACCTGTTCGCCCTCCAAGCCCCTCTTGGAGAGGAAGGAAACGAGTCCTCATCCCCGCTGCCTCCGGATCTGAGGTCCAGAGGAAAATTTGGAGTGGGTGGTTGGTGGTGGTTTGCACCAGCAGTGGGTTCTCTCAAGCATCCCGCACACCATCCGCACCCTGCTTCTCGCCATCTCTGCTGGCTGCTCTGAATGGCTGTGGAGCCGGCTTGGCTTTGCATGGGGATGTGGCGATTCTTTGGGTTACGAAGTGAGAGATTTGGAACAAAATTAGTACAATGATCATGCACGTGCCTTCTTTTCCACTTTTTAACGGGTAAGGGCAAATGGAGGTGTGAAAATGAAATGTAAGGATTAAGCTTGTGGGCTGGAGACGGAAGTGGGGGGGGGGGCAAACCAAAGAACAATAATGTGAACTAGGCAAGAGTTAAGGCTTGGACTTCGTGAAACCCAAGGGCTTATTCCTGAAGATAAGGGCGTGCTTCCTTTGTGACTCTGAAGAAAACCTCGGCTTCTCGAAGCAAGAGTAGAGACCCCGGAGGAAAGAACAGAGAATGGGCTCAGGAAGGCCCGGGGCCTGCATAGGTAGGGTGCTGGCCGTTCCCTGACCCTTTCCAGAGCACTCACATGCCTTTGGAAGCACGCCCGCAGGCTTGCCTGATGCGTGGTCTATACAAGAGGCTTAGACACTGCGATGCGCATTCCTAAAGATGCACATTCTGCTCCAAGGACCACAAACCAGGGCGCCCAGACTCCAAAGGGCCATTCTCCTAGGAGGAAACTAGGGAAGCGTCAGCCACTCCCCGCCGGAGCCAGGGGCATCAAGCTGCAGCCTCCCCCCACCCCCACCCCCAGCTAGGCCTGGAAAAACAGCGCTTCTCTGTGTTTCCTGGCAGCTCGGGTTCCTCAGGGCTGGCGCTGCGGGCGCCCTGTCAGGGTCTTCTGCCCGGCTCCTCCGTCGGTGTCGGCTTACTTCGTGTCAGGCCAGAACCAGAGGAAGGTGTATACAGATTTATTTTTTCAGCCGCCCAACACCCAAACAAAAAGGTCCCATTGTTTCTGTCAGACTGGATTTGTTTAGACTAGGGAGATGGGGTGGGGAGGGGGGAGCACAAAAAACCGAAAACAGAAACATTTGACAGAAACACTTGCCGGAATTCAAATTTCTTTGCGATGAACCAAGGTTGTGACTAAATAGAGAAAAGCTAGGTCCTCCGAGACCTGGGGAGATCACAGGGGAGTGATAAAATCCCAGCGTGCGCACTGTTTACCCGCAGGGCACCTCCAGGCCTTTGCCAGGTCAGTTCCCAAAGAGGCCGACTTGGCTTTTTGGGTCTTAGAATCAATAGCTCCATATTCCCCTCAGCTCAGACTGGGGGAATGTTGCAGATAACCACAACCTCTCTATGTAGGTTCAGAGATTTCTGAATCCGCGAAATCTCAAGTCCCGGGTCAGACCAACCCGGGAGACACTTCCGGACCTGAAGCAAGAGCCTAGCAAACCTAATCCAAAGAAAAGCCCATAGTAGTGCAACTCTCCAATCCCACAGTTTGGTGGCCCGTTCTGAACCGCATTTTCATTAACCTGGACCCTAGTCGCACCTGTAGGCCTGTTTGGCTCTTTAGATCTCCCTGCACGCATCAGGTTACTCGCCACCCCAGGTATCCCCCATTATCCAAATTCTGGTTTGTGTGGTGAAGTCCAAGGTCGCGCTGAGAGCGGATGAAAGCTGGATCCCTTTGACATCCTACCTCATCCACCTCTAATTTCTCATTTTGACCCAGAAGTGGTGGATTTAAAACTCTCTCAGCTTTATCCATGTGTGCAAAAAGGCACCTGAGTGTCCCACTCTTCAAATGCTGTGAATGTCAGCGAGGATGGAGGAATGCGTTGAGAGCCCCTGCCTCGGGTCGCTGGAGAACCTGTTGGGTTCCCTTTAATTGTTTGTCTCTGCCTGGCGATAGCGTTTCCCAAATGGCCCCTTCTGTGCCTGTGTTTTAATTAAAGTTCTAATGTATTGTCAAGTTGGGAATTCGGAGCCTTGTTTAACTAAAGCGGGGGGCGTGGGCTTTCCAATAAAGCAAATTGCAGGTCCCTGGGGAGCCTGCGCTCATCCTGGCCCGGCCAGGCCTCCTTTCTTCCCTTTCTTACTTTTATTGTCTAACACTTGTCAGGCTCCTGGGAAATCAAGGGAAGTCTCGTTTTGGGGTCATAAAATTCTCTGTGATGTAACCGTGCGAAATTATGTAAATAAAGCCGGCTAGGTCTGAGTCCCGGATCCCAGCCTGTGCTTTGGCCTTTAATTTGCGTAATGAGAATTGTCCCCAAAAGGCTTCCAATCTCCGCTCCTATGTGCCCCTTCTGTGCCCTGGGCTACGGGGGCTGGGGCTGTATGAAGAGGGGACTGCTGTTAAGCAAAAGAAATGTTTAAATGTGGCAAGGTTCCTGATGAATATACATGTTTAGGGATGGATTTAGGCATTTTTCTTTTTTAATTTAAGAAGGTGGAGCTGGGTACAAAAGCATCACTTCTTCCCTGAGTGGCAAGAAACTGGAACTGTGACTGTCTGAGTGGAGAGGCTATAAGGAGACCGGGATGCTCCCTGGTCACCTGCCCCTCCCTTTTCCATTGATATTATTTCTGAACTACCCTTCTCAGACGGAAAGGGTTATCACGTGCAAGAAAGAGGTTCTTTGTAATCAGGACACCAGGCTCTCATTATTTGCTCTCACTAATACCAAACCCAGTTCCATTGGGGGCATCTCAGCTCAGGGTTCTTAATTTCTTCTGTGAAAAGAAGGCGCCGAAATAGAGAGATGGGATAGGGCGCAGCTCTTTCTTTGCTGGACTGTCTGGAAAGCGGTCGAGGGAACAGGGCGGAGGAGGGCTTTGGCAGGAGAAGTAATAGGAGTGCGGCAGTGGGCTTTGGCAGGCAGCGCACGGGCTTCACGCTGTTTTCTCCCGGCCTTGCAGCCCAGGCGCAGTCGAACCTGCTCGGGAAGTGCCGACGGCCCCGCACGGCTTTCACCAGCCAGCAGCTGCTGGAGCTGGAGCACCAGTTCAAACTCAACAAGTACCTGTCTCGGCCCAAGCGCTTTGAGGTGGCCACGTCGCTCATGCTTACTGAAACCCAGGTGTGCAGGCATCCAAACCATCATTATATCCCCCTCACTACTAGAACACTCCTTTCCACGATGATACCCCAGGACCCGGGTGGGCCCCTCTTGATGTCTAGACCTGTGGCTCTTGTTGGTTGGGGTGTGAAAAAATGATCCCAGTGTAGGTTAAGATCCTCACTCTGACTGGGTAGGTTTTGGATGGCACCAGGAATTTGCATTGTACCACTCCCTTCCCAAGGGTCTGATGCTGGTGTGTTGAGGCCATACTTGAGAAATCATGTCCGCAAAGAGAAGGGAAGCATCCTGATATTTACAGAGATGCCTCCTTACCAGCAGCCCCTCTCTTCTACAGACTCTGTGCACTGTTAAAAAAGAGCCAAGAAGGGACCTCAGGGGGAATTGATCAGAGTCTCACTCTGTGGGGTTGTTAAGGAGTGTTTATGAGAGTGTGGGAATCTCTTCTCTGGGAAATACTTCAGTCTCTTCTCTCTCAGATCCTAGGTCTTCTAAGGCTGAACTTCATTTCCGGGCAAGGGTGGGGGAAGCCTAGGGGATCTGCAAGCCGGAACCCGGAACCCGGATTGCTAACCCGGGGAGTGATTCAGGAAAGATGAAAACCCATCAGGCTCAGGACGGCCCATTTGGAATTGCCCGTTGAGATTATCTGCTTTAACCCCGCAGGTTAAAATTTGGTTCCAGAACCGGCGAATGAAATGGAAACGGAGTAAAAAGGCCAAAGAGCAAGCGGCCCAGGAAGCTGAGAAGCAGAAGGGCGGGGGCACAGGGAAGGGAGGCGGAGGCAGCGCGGAGGAGAAGGAGGAGGAGGACCTGCTGGTGCCCCCGGCCTCCGGAGAGAAAGGCAGTGGACGCCGCCTCCGGGACTTGAGGGACAGTGACCCAGAGGAGGACGATGACGAGGACGATGAGGAACATTTTCCCTATAGCAATGGCACCAACACCAACGTGCCCTCCTCTGACTGCTCCTCAGAGGATGACTCACCACACACGCTGCCTGGCCAGGGCCACCAGCCTCCGACCCAGTAGGACCCCCCTGCAAGTGACAGAGATGGAAGGATTCAACCAGAGGCTCAAGTAGCTCCTGCCCCCCAGGGCCAGACAGGTGGGAGCGTGCAGAGGGCGCACCCTGCCCCGGCAGTGCCACCTGAGGGGACCAGAATGGCAGTGGGTGGGTTTCTCTCTCAGACCCCTCTGATTTTTGATCCATCCTGTCCAGCCTCCTCTCCAGCCTCCTGTCCTTCCAGCGTCTGTGCACCTTAGATCATCAGATCTCAGGACAGGGGTATGGAGGACTCAGCCTCGGGTTAGCCAGGTCTGGTGGCCCATCTGTTTTTGGCCATAGCACCTTATCTGTTCTGCAAGGGACAGAGAAAGGGAGCCCCATAGGGTTTAAAATGGAACTCCTCTTTCTTTTTAAAAATGTAATATGGTTAGTGTTGGGGTGGGGAGGTGTTTGAGAGAAGAACCAGCCTATGCCCGAAGTAGCCTCCCACCTTCTCCCCATAGAAAAGGTGAAACTCAACAGTGTTAAACGACCTTTGAAGCTTGAAACATTCTCTGGAAAGACCATTTTTATGCCGAGCATTGGAGGCAAATAGGTTTTATGCCTATGTATGTATGTTAGGGGAAGAAAAACACTTTATGTCATGAGTGTTCAAACTGCTGGAAATCTCAAAACTGTACTGTCTTTATTTTTGTATATTGTATTTATATATAAAAAGAAACATCTACTTATGCATGCTAAATTATTATTTAGCTTCTCCCATCACCCAAGATGGAATGTAAAATAAATCGTTTTTTTTACTTGAAAGTACAAATCTTTTGAGGTGATTGCTTTTTCAAAAGGAACTTCACTGTTCGCCATTTTGTTGAAATGATGGGGGGGGTGTTGTCTGTCATTAACAGTGGAGGGAGTAGGTTGGGAGGTTAATAAAAACTGGAAGTGCGTGTCAGCTAAGCCACCTCTTGGGGCAGCTGTGGAGCCTTGATTTATGACACTATTGGTAAAAATAGCTGAGTGACAAGTTACACATCTGCCCTGGGGACATGAGTCTCAGGGCAGTAACTTTGGAGGCTCAAGTGTGTTTCTCTGCTTCCTCGGGGATCTTCACTTGCTGGTGCTCCCCGAAATGGATGTGCATTATTTGGATATTTCAGAAAACACGACAAAGTGATATTTTGGTTGGGTCTGTGCAGCCCTCTGTGCGTTTCCATGTTTTTTTCCTGGAAGACACTCAAGCCCGGGTTTTTTTTTTCCTTGCGGGTAAACCCTTCCCAAATCTCTTTTCAGAATCTTTCTTGCCATGGACAGATTCCTTGGATCAGTTCAAATGTCCTTCCAGGGGACAGCCAGCTGATGATGGCAGGGATGCTTCATCCCCTGGACTGCAATGGTTTCGGATTAATAATCTTCTGCATTGTGTCCCATTAATCACCAGGGGCTGCTGTGTTAGGCCTGCTGGCCATGTGCTGTGCACATGCTGGACTCAAATTCGCAGCCCAGTCTGGGGCTGCAGCTTTTTGGGCAGCAGCCAGCCAGCCAACCAGCCAGGCCTCTGCAGGTTCCAGCAAGGAGGCTACCCGCCCCAGTGACAGGACGGGCCCTACAGTGACTGTATCAGGCCAGTGTGTCTTCTGGATCTCCTGCCGCTCCTGCCTATTCCTAATCTAATATTCTCTCCTAGGCTAGCCAACACCCAGCACCTGTCATCAAGCTACATTTGGTTCTTCCTCCCTCTCTGATTTTCCTTTCTTACTTAGTACCCCCTGCCCTTACCTGGGCGTCAGGGTCAGCAGCCCCATCCCTGTCCCTGTGGTTCCCATTGCTGCTGCCTCCTCCTGCTCCATGCAGCTGATAAATGAGTTCAGAAGAGCTTGGCATTTCATTTGGGCGATTACAGCATGGATGAGGGAGGCCACTCCTCTACCTAAGGGGCCTGGGTGAGATTAATATCCTCTCTGGCAGCTCATTATCACCCCAGGTTCCTTCCATAAAATCCAATCTCTGCCAAGGCCAAGGGGGGGTGAGGTGTCCTGGGAGCAAAGTGAGAAGAAGCGTGTTGGGTGGGGGCAAGAGGGAGCCTTAGGGTCCAAAGGTGCCTTTGGGGAACAAGGACTGGTTTTTCAACTGTCAGAGAAGCAAAGTGTCTCAAGGAAAGAGGAGAGAGAGAGAGAGAGAGAGACAGAGAGAGAGAGAGAGAGAGACACACGCGCAAGCAAGCCAGCCTGCTAGGTTGTTTTATTTTTTTAGGGTTTTTTTCGGGGGGGGGGGTGGTGTGTGTAAAAACTCTGCAATCTGTGTATGTCACTTTGTAATTTCTAACACATTGGTTGAAGTAAAAAGCCTGGAGCAGTTTCAGAAGAGCCTGCCTGGCTTCACATATGGGGGTCATTTCCCCCTGCGCTCAAGGCCCAGCCCGAGATGCCTCTCAATGCCTCCCCACGCCCCCATCCCCACCCCAAGGGCGGACAATCAGAAAATAAGCAGGGGGAAGGGGCAAGAAGTGGGCCTGGAGAAGGGGGGCATTTTCCGGCCTGGGTTCTTGGCTGGAGCCTCAGGCATCAGTATGAGTTGCATCTCTTAAGGTCCTAAGGAGCTGTCTGGACCCCGTAACTGGGCTGCTAAATCTGAGACAAAGAGACCCATCCACATCACTTTAATCCTCCAGTGAAGCCAGGCAGGCCCGGGTTTTGGCGCAAGGAGAGTTTGGTTCTTGGGCGGGCTCCTCAGGGTGAGAGCAGCCCCCAGCATCTCCAGCCAGCAGCTTAATCGCAGTGGAATTTATCTCGCTAATAAATTTAATGATCAATTCTTTCTTGTCACAGTAGCTCTTCCCCAAATCAATTATAGCAAATTTAAATATAATCACTGGCTCATCCTCACCCACTCCGGGCACGACGAACAATTCATTCCAGCTAATGAATGGCTGCACGGCCCTGCAAGGCCTCAGGCGCCCCCCACACGGAGGGCGCAGGCGAACCACGCTGTGCTGCGCGGCTGGCTCATGGCTGCAGAACCGGCGGTCAGGCTGGGCCTCGGAACTGTATCCGAACCACATGCAGGGGGAGAAAGGATCTTTCCCCATAAAGATCCAATTCCCCGGATCTCGGGACCAGGGTTGCACAGACAGAGCCCAGTGGGCTAGAGCATTTCCCCCTCCTAGACGTGGTACTGAGGCTTCTTCCAAGGGAATTCACACCATTTTCGAGCTGTGAACCATCAGTAGTTAAAAGCCTGTTTATTTCACCTCTGTATACACGGGCGAGGGTGCACGGTGTGGACCTGGCGCTCCCTGAGAACCTTGGAGGCCCCCACTACGCAGCTGAGGGCCGTCCTGGCTTGCTTTTCTCTGCTCTAACCAGCGGTTCTGCATGCTTCTCGAGAAGCAGCATTTCTGCCCGGGGCCAGGGTTTTCTGTGTGAGCAGTGTAGGTTTGTGATTGCAGAAATAGATGAGTATAAAACGATTATCTATTAAAAGGGTGCAGGCAAAAGTATTCCTCCTGCAGCCGTAGCAGGTCCTGCGGCAGAGGCAGAGGCCGGCTCACAGGGGGATGACTCCAGCGACTGCTGGGCCAGACGTAAATGGTGAGGGCCGAAAGGAAATCCACTGTCTTTTCCTATCTCACCCTCCGTTTCCAAAAGGTCCGCTCAGAAGCCAGGCTCATTCCTTCTTACAAGAAAAGGAAGACTTGCTGTAGGAAATCCAGGTTCGTAGAGAAAGGCGTAGGGAGACTTTCTGTCTCTCACGCTGGGGAAGCCTGAAGCCCACACCGTGCACGCTGCAGAATCACTGTGACTGGGGCCCAGGCTCCCCACAAACTCGGATTTGAGGATTTTGTACCTGAGGTTCCCCAGCACTCCCCAGGGATTGGGGTATCAGCCGGCCTCTCAGGTGCAGAGGGCACTTTCCAGGTCTTCAACCTGTGACCTTTGTGCGCTGTAGACACACCTGGCCCACGAAGGGCCCAGGGCAGGGACCCCTGCTCCCAGGAGTAGGGACTGCCTACCGACTGCCCCTGCCACGTCGAGGTGTTGAGGAGCCAGGCCAGGCCTGTGGGTCCGTCGCCTACACCAGGTAGGGGCCTGGGCTGCAGGGCCAGGGTAAGCCACCTAGGGGGTGCGGCGGGCAGGACTCCGCGCTCTACCCCCGCCGGGTGTCAAAGTCCTGCGGTGTATTGTGTCTCAATAAAACTAATCCCGGGAAAGGTGCGACCTCTCACAAGAATGCTGCAGTGTTCCAGATTACAAGGGCAAATATGGTTTTCAGATTTCGTTTTTATGGTCGGATTAAAGTTTATTTTCCATAATAGGGCACCTAATAAAACTCATAAAGCTCTGTCAGGCCTCCAGCTGGTGGCCTCATTTAACACTTTCACTTCATAAATCATTTTACAACCTGCCAGGTGTTTCCAAAATGGGAAGCAAACAAGAAGGGGGGAAAAAAACCCAAACCCTAAGCCCCAACCATCAGAAATCCAGTAGGCGCACCTCTGGAGTCTACTCTCTTTGTAAGCCCCCAAGCAAAACTGGGTGATTACGTTTCCAGGGCGAGGAGGGGAGGGGGAGAAGGCGGCTGGGGGTCTTGGCCTTTCCCCTGTCCCGCCAGGTCCGTGAAAGGCCAGCGAGGGTCAGGACAGACCCTTTTAAAAGCTGGCAGTCATGTTCCGCCCCCCGCACTGTCCCGGGCCCTAGCAGTCCCCCGCACGGCGTGAGCAGACACAGCCGGGAGCGCGCCGGAGCGGGCCGCATGGAGGCCACAGCGGGGTCTTGAACTCTCAACCAACGAGGCTGCAGAGCGCGGACTCGGCTGGGGACTCCGCCCCGCGTTGCCGCGCGCACCTTGCGGCCTCGACCCCGGCGTTTCCGGGCCCGGCCCTGCGGCCCCGCGCCGACCCCAGCATTCCGCCACCCGCGCACCTGGCGGCCCTGCGCGCCGCCGCGGCCAGTGTACACAGGCAAGCACAATGGCTGGTCTCCCCGAGCCATTGTCCGCCGGCACTCTAGGGGGACAAAGGGTGCGGTTCCCGGGCG